GGTACCGGATCTTTGGGGTGAACCAGCCTTTGCCGTAATGTGTTTTGGGGTTTGAAAGCTACTGGGACATCATGTTTAGAAAATAAATGTCTCAGTTTCTCMGAAACACCCGCAACATACGGAATAACCACTGGTTTGGGTCTGGGTTTGGGGTCTTCATTTTATCATTTTATCATTGAATAACTGCTTTACTTTATACAGTACTCCAACAGATTTACCTATTTTTGTTTATATGAGCTCTCCATGTCAGCCTTTCCTCAATGATAATACCCAAAAACTTTATCTCACTGACTCTACTAATCTCAGCACCATCAACTTTAAATGGAAAATCAATAGTTTTCTTTCTATTACTGAATATCATGGAATTAGTTTTATCCAAGTTTAGTGACAATTTATTAAGTTTGAACCATGTTTGTATTTTTACAAATTCTGTTTGTATCCTTTCCAACATCCATTCTTTATCTATATACTGTATATATTTCTGATAACTGTAGTTAAGTCACTGTTTTTTATTGATCAGAAACTATGGTTTACTACAGCCTGTAGGCCTGGTTATTTCTGCTGTAGTAACACATACACAGATGTGTCAAGTAGCTAAGTACAAATGCTTTGTTACTTTACTTAAGTAGAAATTTTGGTTATTTATACTTTAGTGGAGTAATTATTTTTCAGCCTACCGGTACTTTTTACTTCTACTCCTTACTTTTTAATTCAATTATCTGTACTTTATACTCCTAACTTTTTAAAAATGCAAAAAGTATTTTATTTCTACTTAACTTTGACTTGTTTTTATGCCATCTTTTCATTGTTCAGAAAAAAATAGAAATATATTCAGATACATGGAGCCCATGGATTGAGTGAATCTGATTGTGGTTGGATGGGAAGTGTAAATATAAACCATTCTGACACCGTATTGATTGAACTCACTCCATCACACCTGTATGACACAAATCACATCACGTTCCAGCAGGACAGACTGTAGCAGATGGAGCCTAGAATGAAGATGATTGTGGCTGAAACAACTAGTCTAGTCAGTTAATTACAAATTTGTCAACATTAATATTTTAATTTAACATTAGACTCATTATTGACTTTAGAAG